GAGTCTCCAGGACCTCCGCAGTGTTCTTATTCTCCTTAACGTCGGCATCGTTGTACCATCTCCAAGTGTTCTCCTCAAAGTCATGTATCCATACCCAGTAATGACCCGACATCAAGTGCCCACGATGGCAGATAACAGCATGCAGACGATACGGCGTTCCCTTTAGACTTTCTTGATGTTCCTTAAGGGTCTCTTCTCGGTTTTGCAGCTCAGCCTCCATCATTTGACGAATAGCTGTATCGGTCGCACGGATATTCAACGGCTTCGGCTCGTAAGGTATCGGTTGTTCAGAGCCAGTCGAGGTTGACGTAGTGACAAGTAGAAAATCCTCATCTACAGGGCCATCAAAATCCCAGTTCTCTTCCGGAGCAGCAACAATCTCTGGGGCCTCTCCAACGGCCGATTCGGCGTTTGCAGTTCCATCTGCTACTTCCGTTTCTAAGACTCCGGCTGCGTATTTCTCCAAATATGATATATATGTCGGGTTGGAGTCAACTTTTGAGATTTGAACCTTCAGGTCTGATATGCGATCGGACAGAGCCCAGTCTTCTACGCGCCGTTGGAATACCGGTGAAGTATGTGGGGCATCCATATATCTGTCCAAATACAACGTCTCTGGAATGACTACGGCATTGCCGTTCTTGCTTCCCATGGACTGAGACCGTTGAATGAGGACGTGTAACACGGGAGGCAGGGTCTTGATGGCTGTATATCTTGAAAGCTTGCTCTCTTCCAGTATTTGTTGATCAAAGTTGCGTCCCAGGGCGTCATACAAGGAGCAGGGCCCATCCGGAGCCGGGAATGCAGTTATGGAACGATCAAAGCTGATTTCTGACTGATACTCCTTTTCGTCGAATTTCTTGGTGTAGTTGACCGTTGTCACAAAAAAGGTTTCCATAATCTTTTCGAGCTGGATGCCAGTCTTCTCGTCGACTGATGACGGTTGAATCGCAGCTTGTAGGCGATTAATGATGCTACCCATGACTTCCTCAACATCTTGCTGGTCGGTGCCGGAGGATCTCTTCTGATGTTCCAAGGCATTCAAGACTTTTTGGTCTACGGTTTCGATTTCCGCATCGGCCATGCCAACGTCTTGACAACTCCCTTGCACATCATTCGTGGCTTCAGTTGTTGTTGCCGCCTTTGTGGATTGTGAAGGGCTTTGTGAGGACTGATCCATAGGGTCGTCGTTCCTAGATAGGACTTCTGTGGCACCATCTGCTTGGCCAGAGACATGCACGGTTTCTACCCTCTCATATGAATGATCGGAACGGGCATCCTCCTGATTGACCAATGTCCTCGAACTAGAAGTACTAGCTATTTCGAAGGGCTCAAGGGCATTGGCAACACTGCCGTTAATCATTTCAACGTCGTCTGCGGATTGAGTTGGTGGTGCTGGGGATGGTCGAGCCGGTAAAGGCGGTGGCCTTGGTCCGATCGGCGGTTCAGATGACTGCTTGGGATTGTGAAGTAGAGTGTGTGTCGATAATAGCACAGCATTGGCCAGGCGCTGAGACGGTTTCGTCGCCGATCGTTTTGAAGCCTTCAGATTTTGGAAGAGCTCAGATAGCTCCTTAGCAACTATTCTCGAGTCAACTTCCCATTTGAAACGCGCCGTGACTCTTAAGAAAAGATGTTACTTACAAGCTTGCGCGACGACCGCCTCACCACGGTCCATCTGCATTTTGTTTCCGCCTAGAAGTCGAGCCTTGATACTTTCATCATCTAGAGGTAGTTTCACATTGTCATAGTTTAATACGATTTCTCGTACTGGCTTGACAGTGAAGAGGTATTGAAGCAGACTGTTCAAATAGCAGGTGTTTCCAATATTGTGCAATCCGACAGGCAATGCATAGTTGACCGGTTCGTCTTCATCCTTAGCTTTGACCCCATATATGCCGTTTTCTTGTCGGAGCTCCATCGCCGCTTGTTTGAGTGCTGGAGAGTAGGTATGATCCGCGATTGCTTCTAATGCATCTAGGTAAACTTGAGTGGCTTCCTTGCTCTTGCTTGCTTCGATCTGTGGTCGGTATTAGCCAAAGACCGCAATAAATAGTGCGTTGACGGCAGCTACTGTTCCAAAGGAAAAGAAAAAAAAAAACGGCCGGGGGAAACAGATTGGGGAGAGTTTGATATAAGCCTCTTACCTTCTTTTTGGCAGCTTCATAAGTGGTCTTCCAGGGCACTTCTACGGCTTTCAGTTCAAGGATTGCCCGGCTCGTTTCCAAAGACATCTTCGCATCAGCTTCCATTAATAGTTGAGCTTGATACATATCATCGTTTGAGTTTTGGGCGATAAGAAGCAGCATCGATCGTGCAGTGGTAGCATCTGCCGGATCTCGAACAAGCTTCTGTCTGAATGCTTGAATCAGGGAATCTGCGCTATAGTTATTCGGAGGTTGCAGACCCAAGAAATTGAGCGCTTGTGGCACCAGGCCGTCGTCATCGTTAGTCGCGGGTCTATGTGTTTGGTTATCAAACACTGATGATTGAGTAATAGCATAATCAGAGAGCAATTCGTCCCTGGAATCATTAGCAATGCCCATGATGCTGTCCACCAATGCTCTTCTACGACTAGGCAACAGGTCCCATTGGCGTTTGTAAGCATTGACTACCGCTTCTCGGGATTGATTAGGGAGTACTCCAATCAACTTGTATCGCTCCACGTTGACCAATGCATTCGTAGCAGCATTCGGCACTTCATTGCATCCTAAATCTGCGTGTAGAACTGGCGTGATGATTGTGGGCTTTTCCGCCGCCTGGCCAGCCTTGTGTATCAAGCATTGTACTTCAGCCCGTACATCTTCTAAATATGATCGATAGGTGCCTATTTCAGTCGTTTCCAAGGGACCGCCCGCAGGCGGGGGAGGTGAAGGAGTGAAAGAGCCTTCGTCAACACCGTCTCTAAGTTCTACTTTCTCGGTGAATTCCAACTGGCGAAACATGGCAAAGCATCGGGGCCCGAACAGAACAGCAAAGCGCTTATTCCTCTTTGATATGCTCCTAGCGTCCTCTGGGGTGGACTCTAGTAGATTTTTCAGGTACGTGTTTAGATTCAGGGTTGCCTGATAGGCCCATTCGTCGGTGGCAGCTTCATAGCGGCTAGGTTCCTGTTCCTTTGCCATCTTCAGCTGCTGGCAAATAGCCTCCCGATCCAATAGAAGCTCCACCCAAGACTGCGGCATGCGAGGTTCTGATATTTCGAGGGTGAGCTGGAACGTACAGGGTGGAGCGGAGCAAACGAAATATTCTCGAGCCAACAGAGGGCAATATTTGGTGTTATCCTGGGCAATGTCTGGGTCAGAGCTGGATCCTACCCACACCAAGTGGTGCCATGGGAACTGATCATCACGGAGTGGCCATGATGACTGATTCTGATGGCACAGACCATCACTGTGAGCTTCATCCCAGGTCATCTTGAAGACAAAGTGAAAGTGGCAGTCCAGACATATTGATGACAGTACGCGAGACGAAGCTGTTGAGAAGCTTTGGTTTCCATTCATGACCAGTTTGTGGGCATGGTCCCAGGTATACGTGCTCTCTAGCTTCGCGTGTCGGGCTCGCTCGAACAAATCGCAGACGGTGAAGTCGTTGTTTAATAGTTCGTAAACCCATCGGCTAGGGTTGCAACCTACAACAGTGTCGCAGGATTAGTTGTATGTATGGTATGGACAATGGTGGCTTATTCGACATACCAGCAATTTCCCTACCAGGCGCCAGGTTGGACTTCATCGGCGTCATGTTATGCGGCACAAAGCCAGCTTGTGATGTGCCTGGCAACGTCGCATAAGGGCTCGCCTCTTGCGCCTGAGAGCTTAAATCATAGTGGCCAGCCATATCGAGTCTATCTCCGGCAAAAGTGCCGGATTGAGAGGTATTGTATATATCCGTCGAAAGCGAGTGTAGCTGTTATGACGAGGTCGACGAGTGCTTGCCCCGCGATGGATGGGAGCTGGAGACGGTTGTGAAGCAAACGTGGCCAGGCAGCATCAAGGCAATTAGACCAAGCAGAAGGCCCTGTGCATGATCCTAATACCGGTGCAAGGCAGCCAACTTGGATAAGTAATTGTCGGGTAGGCTATGCGGGAGGCGTAAATGCTTGCGTGGTCGTGTCGCAGTCAGTGATGGTGTGGCAATGTGACGACCTGGCTGACGAAGCTTCCAAGGTGAGACATGATTGACCGTTTGGAGAGAGCTTTGTTGACCGTTGGCCGCTGAAAGAACCACAGTCCGGGTCTGTGTCCAAGCATTGACGGCTCTGGAGTTACCAGGCACCTTGATCCAGGCCAACGGTGTCTAGGCCTATGTGGGTGCTCTTGTATCACTCGAGGTGCCTAGGTGTCCAGTTTTAGGCGGCCCACGCGCTGAAGTAAGCTCGAGCACTTTGTCCAACATCGCTACTGACCACTAAGTAACAAGTGCCTAGGTGCCTGGCGTAAAAGTACCTGGCTATCCAATTGTTCTCCCCCTAAGCCTATTCAGGAATGGAAACGGCCACACCGCTTTGTCGTCGCTGCGGAAGTTCAATCCATCACCACCAGTCGTTCAATCTTTCAAAGTCAATCGCAGGGTCACAGTGCATCATTCTCTCTCCGCATACAGTCCCGAATTACAATTGCCATATGCGACATCCTCTCAAAATATCAGCATATCCGGCATCTACAAGAATACCGGTCCATCGTCGTTTTGCGGTCCTCACGATTCGAGTGTCGCCTGTCAATGACACGTCTCCGACCAAACACTGCAAGGCGCATACTATGCATGCCGAATTCGCAGTAGGACTATGGCCTCCAGTATTATTATATCAGCCATCTGGCTTTCCCGGTTATCCAGGGCCTGATCCGTACGGAGTACTCCGGTAACAAGTTGAGAACATGATGAACCCCGCTTCGTCTCCGCTCTACCTGCGCGCTGTCCTGGTGTATAGTAGGAGCGGCGTTTCGATCTTCAGATCTAAATGCGTTATAATACCGATATTTGCTATAACGACTTAAGTCAAAATGGCAACTACCAACAAATCTCGGCGCCTCCGTATTGGCGTCGACGTTGGGGGCACTAATACTGATGGTGTCATTCTTGACCCATCCGCACTGGCGTCACCCGAGAAGGGCATACTGGCATGGCACAAAACGCCAACGACTACAGACCCCAGCAGAGGTATTATCAAAGTCATAACCACTATGTTCAATGACGCCGTTGTACGAACCAAGGATATCACTAGCGTCACCATTGGCACGACCCATTTTGTAAACGCCGTGGTAGAAAGAGATGCATCACGGCTTAGACGTGTAGCCGTCATACGACTATGTGGACCGTTTTCAAAACATGTTCCACCGTGCACAGACTGGCCATATGAGATGCGAGAACTGATTTTGGGGTACTACGCCCTTGTTACAGGCGGGCTCGAGGTCGATGGAAACTTGATTTCCGATATTGATGCGGATGAAATCAAGAGACACTGTGAGGTGATTCGGGAGAAGGGAATCAATAGCATTGTTGTAAATGGCGTCTTTAGCCCCATCGATACTGTGGAACGGCAAGAAGAACGGGCTGCGACGATAGTCAGCCAGGAATTACCCGATAGCCATGTTGTCTGCTCGCGGGACATAGCAAATCTTGGCTTCATCGAGCGAGAGAATGCATCCATACTGAATGCATCCATTCTACCATTTGCGCAGAAAACAATCCGGTCCTTTCAAGACCCCATCAAGAAGTTGGGCTTGAAGTGCCCTGTTTTCATTACTCAGAACGATGGCACAATAGTGTCAGGAGAAATGGCAGCTCGCCTTCCTATCCGAACTTTCTCAAGTGGACCGACGAATAGCATGAGAGGCGCAGCATTTCTAGAATCAGGGCAATTATCTCAAGCTGTCATGGTAGTCGATATCGGCGGAACAACTACCGATGTTGGCTTGCTCCAAGCGAATGGGTTTCCAAGGCAGCAGGCAGCATACAGCGAACTTGCCGGCATTCGAATGAACTTTTCTTGCCCAGATGTGAAAAGCATCGGTCTAGGTGGGGGCTCGATTGTCAAAAAAGACGATCACCTTGCGGTTGGCCCTGATAGTGTCGGCCATAGGCTGACTGCAGAGGCTGGTGTCTTTTGCGGAAAGATATTAACAGCCACGGATTGCGCGGTGCTTGCCAGCCCTGAGCTCGATATTGGCCACGTTGGGCTTGCTCGAGGATCTTTGAGTGAGAAGCAGACCAGCGAAGTCCAGCAAATTATTCGCATCAAGCTGGAGCAAATTGTAGACAAAATGAAAACGTCACCGGAGGACATTCCAGTCCTGCTAGTGGGAGGAGGAGCGATACTTGCTCCCAAAAGCCTGAAAGGAGCCAGCAAAGTTCTGACGCCCAAGTGGTCTGGTGTTGCAAATGCAATAGGCGCGGCTATAGCAAGAGTTAGTGCAGTGGTAGATATCATTAAGTCGACGGAGAATAAAACAACAAACGAGATACTTGACGAGGTTATCCAAATGGCTGTGGATAAGACGATATCCGCTGGCGCCTTGCCATCCTCTGTTGAAATCGTCGAGAAGGATACCCTTCCTCTTCAGGTATATATGTCCGAGCCTTGGATAGGTGGAAAGCTTGCTGACTCAGATTGTAGTACATTGCTCATAAAAATAGATGCATTGTTCGCGCAGCAGGAGAATTTGACTTTGAAAATTATCAAGACCAGGTAATAGCCGATGTAGATGAGGCTGATGAAGCAAGCTGTGACGACATGGAAGAATATCCGCGGCAAGACGAAAACACAGATATAAGGCAGAAACGAGACGATATTGAAGAAGGTTTTAACATCTTAGATTACGAGCCCAAGGTTGAGAATCGTGTCTGGTATATTTCCGAAACAGACGTGGAGTGGATTTCAACAGGATGCTACATCCTTGGTACTGGAGGAGGAGGATCACCGTATCCATTCATGGTCAGGCTAAGAAATCAGATTCGCGACGGGGCCACCGTGCGAGTCGTCAACCCCCTCGACCTGAAGAACGAGGACCAAGTAGGGTGTGGTGGTGGCATTGGCAGCCCAACGGTAGGCATCGAAAAACTAAGCGCAGACGAAATACTCGAGGCCCAAGAGGAGCTATCCAAGATTTGTGACCGGCCGGCAACACATGTCATCGCCCTAGAAATAGGAGGCGGCAATGGACTACAAGGCATGATCCTTGGTGCAAGCAACAACATGAATACTCCGTGTGTAGATGGTGACTGGATGGGTCGAGCATATCCTACAAAATGGCAAACCACACCAGTCGTCTTCAACGAAAGATCGCCAGTATGGTCGCCAACTGCCATGACAGACGGCAATGGGAATGTAGTTCTCATGCCCAAGGCCAAAAGCGACCTTCAAGTTGAGAAGACCCTGCGGGCGGCGCTGTCTCAGATGGGTTCTCACTGTGCATTTGCAGACTCACCTGTGACTGGAGCTGAGACCAAACGATGGGTGGTAGAGCACACAATCTCTCAAGCATGGAGAATAGGCCGCGGAGTAGCCAGGGCCCGAAAGGAAAATAGAGTGGACAATGTGGCGGAAACAATCATCGACGAATGTGGAGGGCCAGGGGCGGGTAAAGTTCTGTGGAAGGGCAAGATAGTTGGTGTGGAGAGGATGCTAAGAGGAGGATATGCTTACGGAGAATGCTTAATTGAAGGCACAGACGTACGGGGTCATAGTGATGCCATCAGGGGTACGGCACGTGGCTCCTCATTCCAAGGCACGATCAAGGTTCCCTTCAAGAACGAAAACATTGCTGTCCTGAGACTGCGAGACGACGGCAAACAGGAGCTTCAGCAGGACGTCTTGGCTATAGCTCCGGATCTCATTACTATAATCGATGCCCAGAACGGAGAGGCTATCGGAACTCCAGAATATAGGTACGGTCTATTCGTGGTGGTTCTAGGTTTGGCCGCCAGCGACAAATGGACTGGAAGTGGGCGAGGCGTAAAGATTGGTGGCCCAGAGGGTTTTGGCTTTGGCCATTGGGCTTACACTCCTCTGGGAAAGTTTGTACGGCCAAAGAGTGTCATTGACGAGTATGACAGGAAGTAGTAATTTGGAAGGCCTCAGAAGTGTGTAGAAGAGTGGAAGAACTCTAGCGTGGTAAACCCCATAGTTTATAGTATCGACTGAGTTCATCTACGCATAGGGCTTGCTTCAGGACGATCTATTGAGTTTTTGGACTGCGTACTAAGAACTCAAAGTGATTGGTATATTTGGGACAAGAGCATGGCTGTGTTGGCAGTGAAGTTGTCATGTACGAACGGCACCCGGCGCGGCTCGGAAGGCTGCACACCTTTCGTGCTGGAGTCCTGGTTTCTAGACGTTTATCACGAAGATGCATTATTCCCACAGTAATGAACCTCTGTAGACAATTATTCCAAGCAAGACTGAAGGACTGATGGCTTTCTCCAAAAAACCAGGTTTCGGTGGACGCGTATGCGTGCACATCCATGGAGTTTGGCTTCACCCTTGGGCTTACTCACCGTGTTGTTGCAGCACAGACTTCCGAAGCAAGGGAGCAAACGGAACAAATACACTAACTATTTCAATTTTCAGTAATCATGACTGGGTCCCTGGTTCATGGGTCTTGCGGGCAACCTGCGCTTTGCATCGTGTGGTAATCTGCCGCCGTGATGCGGCCTCATCCACACGTATAAGTAAATATACCTGTCTTCTGCTTCATCCACCAGCTGAGGCTGCGAAACTACTTGAAGCTTCTTTCGATGTGCAACTAAATAAGCATACTGATGTCATAGCGGAAAGCCTCTCCGTCTATGAGTCAAGCAGCTGCTGGCGCTTCCGAGTTTCACTGCGCACCTGGACCTGAAGCTTAGAAGCGGCATTTCCTATAGAATCAAAGTTCACTCGCGCACATAAACCTTCTTCATTGCTTTAGGTTCCCTAGTCCAGCCATTCAGCTGTGCATTTTCCAGAAACTTCTCTCTCGCTGCGACTCAAATTTCCTTATATATCTGCTGTTCCCCCTCCCACAGATGCCGCTTTGCATTTCAACTTTGAGTAGCATCTTTCCTGCAGACTCACAATCTCACACACTCACACCTTGACACTTTGACACTTTCAAAAATACACAGACTTACATGGTCACACTTTGTCACTTTGTCACCTTCACACCTACACACCTACGCACACACTTACACACTCACCTGATATAGTTGCCCTATTCTGCAACGTGACCTCCTCTGCATCTTATTGCGGCCTGTGGCTTCTTCACTTCTACATTTATTCACTCAGAGTCGCTTGGACAACTTGACAACCATGCCTCGCGCAGCTGCTCGAACCTCTGCCAGTGGCCATGGTGGTTCGCCATACACCAGACGCACACCAGCCAACACGCGTGTGGCATCCAATTCCAATACCTATTCACTGAGGAGCAAAACTTCGCATGCCACCAGGCTCCCGAATGAGATGAAGCATGCGATTGCCGGCTTTCTTCCCCAGCAAGCACTTTACCAACTCGCCAAATGCTCAACAAACTGGGCCGACATTGCACTTCCCAGACTCTACGACCTCGACGCACGCTCCGGAAACCCGAAAGCCATAAAATGGGCGGCGAAAAATTGTGCAAGATCCGATCCCCAGCTCGCACTCAAGCTCTTGGCAAGGTCCGTCAAGTACAAGGGCGATGTGAATGCTATTTATACCGACGACGGGGTTCATGCGACAGCCTTGCACTACGCAGCGGCTCATGGCGCACGAGAAGTCGTCAAAGAACTGCTGAGACTGGGAGCCCGCGTTGATACCTGGAGTTCCGGATTCGAGTTGGCCAGGGGACTCGGAATATCGATTCTGCACGAGAGCTTGGACAAACAGTTTAGTTGGCTCGAAAAGTATGACGGCAATTGGGAGTGGTCACCTCTCGTGATACCAATCCTCAAAAACGACACCGAGACAGCCGAGCTGCTCGTAGGTGCGGGAGCACCCGCCATCACGGTCCTTCATCGAGACCACGATTCCTTCTTCAACGCCTTGCCGGTAGTCACAGTTTACCACCTGCTTGCTGCCGCCGAGCCGCGCCACGCCGCCAAGTGGACGCATGCCTTCGGTCACGACATCTACAAGGCGGTCATGAATGTCCCCATGCACAATTTCAGCACAGCACTCAACACTGCCATACGAAACGAAAACGGTCCCGTCTTCGACATGCTCATGGACCTGGGCGCCGACCCCGACGTTCCAACTGTCTGGGGAGGCACTGCGCTGCTCACGGCCGTTCAGAAAGCGTTCGCGCCGGAGCTTACCCTTCCTCGAAGAAAAACCATGATGACATGGATTTTACGACTTATCCAAGCTGGCGCCACTCTGAATCCACCAAATCCTGGCCGAGATTCACCACTCAGTTGCGCACTCAGACTCTACGCCAGCACAATCAACGCCGTCGAACCGTGTGTAAAGAAGGTGGTTGAAATCCTCGTGGAAAACGGTGCCGATATCAATCTCAGAGGATCCACGGGCGAGACCGTTCTACAGGCATACTGCCACTCCATGTTCTGTTTCCAGCATCTGAGATATTCGCCCTTGGAGACCATGCTGCGCTACCTGATAGCCAAGGGAGGAAACGTGAACGCCCTGCCAGGACATGGACAGCCTACCATCATGTCCGTATCAATCCGAAATATCCTGAGGGCAGGAAAAGTTACGCCATTTCACGCGATACTACGGGACGCCGAGGCTAAAATCCATCCACGAGAAGTGACCTTTGTCTTTTTCCACTGGATCACTCACACCTGGTTTCGGAAAGCCTACAACATCTTTCAACATCGGCAAACCCTCACACAGGACCAGATAAACTTGGCATGGACGAAGGCCATTCAGAAAAATGACGACAAACTTTGCAAGGCTTTGCAAGAACAAGGGCTGATGCCAACACACTACGGCCGGCTGATGAATCAAGTTATAAGGGGAAGAGTCAAAAAGTTCTGGCCAAAAATCCTGGATCTGGGCTTCGACGCCGATTACATTGCGGACACACACCTTGGGACTTTCCTCCATACTCTGGTTCGCCAAGTCCAGAAACCGGCATCAACGGGCGTTGACACAATCAGCCCAAGCCAGGCAGTGGAAATCGCCGAAACATGCATTGCGAGGGGCACATCAATCTTGATTCGGGATGCCCAAGGGAAGCTGGCTTTGGATTTGCTGCCCGAGGGCCATCCGAAGCTACGAAGCGTTCTGCTTGAAGCCTATTACGAAAAGACGAAATCGATGTTTACATGAAGGATTAGGGAGTCTGGAAAGACTTTATGGGGGGAATAAGCGGGAACAGATTGCACTGATGGGATATAAACTTGGACTGAACGCGATTTGGGACATGGACAGGCACTTGGAATTTGGTGGCATTACTGGCGGGAAAGAAGGAAACAATAAAAACGTGGGAATACGTTGCATTGATGGCATATAAAGCGACTTGGGACATTTACGGACACTTGGAGTTCTGTAACATGACTGGGGGAAAAAAAGAAATCGGCAAAAAAAATGGGAATACATGGCATTGATCGGATATCAACTTGGGCTGCAAGCGACTTGGGACATAGAGGGACGTTTAGAGTTTTGTGACATTACCGGCGGGAAAAACAAGAGAAATGACGAAAAAATTGGCAGGAAAGGCGTTGATGGATTATGGATTTTCTGGGAGGCAGTATACGAAAGGGCGGAAGTTTTGTTGGGTATTCAGGCATATTCAAAAACACCAAGGTTGGAGGTTTAATCAAGGACATTCACACCCCCCAATGTGTATTCTAATACGTGAGACGTGAGACGTATAGACCACAATATTAAGCAGTGCTGCGCCAAAGTATAGCGTTGCGCTGAATGAAATTAAAGTGCTGAGACGGAGTCTTTTTGCTTTGCTTACTCTATGGAGTGGTAAAGCTGCTTCGCTGCCGTAATTACAAGCTTAGGTCTTGAAAAGCAATATTTTAACTTTTATAGAAGGCCTTCAATTAATATAGTTGGTCAAAGTAAGTGTAGTACGTATATCTGTGGATTATCACGATCCTGCCTTTTTGGTGTTGAGGGCTGTGGGCACCTGCTTCCTTGCAACGTGACCTTCTAGCGAGCCTCACATGTTCAATGCCACACATTCAACCTCACACGTTGGATCTCATAGAAGCATCAAACGACTCACTGCAGGCCGCCTCCAGCAGGGTCCCCGAAGGGCTCCCAGAGGGGGGACGAAAAAAGAGAGCTTTAGGAAGTTTAATGGTCATTACAGCTAACTTTCTGGCAGCTTCGATCAGCACAGCCCAAGAGCTGCACATTTAATGGCAGAGACTCGAATCCAGTAGCAGATGCAGCTCAAGATGCCCGAATTCAACAGCTTCAAACGGCTCGACTTCAGCCGCCTTGTACAGCTTTGCTGACACCCATGGCAGGGGCTCACGCTGGCATCGGACCTACCAGTTGGTCATAGAGAATACATTGCGCCTGGCTCGTCTATTTGCGAAACGAAGCCCGCCTTGATGCCAATGCGACCGACGATTCTAGGACGACGTAACCGGTAGCGATAACAGAGTAAAGAGCCCGAGATGATGTTGCTGTAAGCGGACTCATGCTAGGCCAGACTGTGTCTCGAAACTTTGACCGCCTCAGATGATGGAATGGGTGTCGGACACATGGCATACGCCAAGAAGCTGATAATCGGTCTTACTGGATTCTTATGGCAAGGTCCCTGGCCGTAAAGTCTACCAGGCATTTGCTCCAACCGCGTGCCTTTAAACCACCACGCCTTGGCCAGTCCCCGTTCAACTCGGTATACCTTTGGGAGTTGGGCATGCAACAAAGTCGCTCAATCCCCCATGGTACGCCGCTTGCATTGCCAAGCCGCGGTCCTTATTCTCAAGCTAGTTTCGTATCGGAACTCCCCGACAACCAGCGCTAAACGACCCCGAAAACAGCCCTCGCCTTTTCACCCCGAGGGATCAGCAGTATATACGACCACATGTACGGACGACGCGGCAGACGGGCGCTTCATCTATTCTTAAGCTTTTGGCTCGCAGGCTCGCTTACATGCCCTCCCTGCCCGACATACGACGACGGATATGGCCTGTTCTGCATCTAGGGGAATGGGCTTTTCAGAATACCCATGCCCAAACTGCAACACTCCACAAGAACCCGCATGACGAACCATGTTCCGTTTAGAAATACGGCATCCGGATGGTCCAGCCACTCAGATAAGCTGATGCTTTACCCTGATATCCAGAAAAGCAAGGGTCAACCGGTGCTACTCCGTCCAACATAGCCAATGCGACCGCATTTCTCCACCATCCTGCTTCCCCATCAGGCAGGTTGCAATACATGAACCCTTACTCACTCCCTGGCATTCACTTGGGCGTTATGGGGGTGCTCACGTTGGATAGTCGTGTTGCTATTCGCACTTGTTATTGGCTCCCATGGACAGACAAACACAACGCGTCCATGAACACTGACTGGCCCGAGGAAAGTCTGCCAATTCTCAGAAGCATCTCAAGCATCTCGCCGTGCCCCATGGTTCTGCCATTTGCCGCGTGGTTGCTGCCCTCGGTCGCCAATCTGTGTGTTGGCGCCGATCTTGTCGCAACGCTAGTTTAGCCCCAAGATGCAGCCTTTATTCTTATCGGGCGAGGATGGGGATTACAAGCCACGAGAGGATCGTCTTTCAAAGCGAGATTTGAAGTTCGGGTGAATCTGGGCAAAAGACCATCGGTCCAGTTCGGCCGGTCTCTGTTTCAGTAGGCAGCGAGTATAAACTGTCGTGGATTCGCATCCCTTTTCTTGCCCTTTCCTTGTCCTTGTTGCCGTGCTGCATCCCAAGTCCCCTTGTTGCCCAACATGAAGTTCTCCTCGGCATCATTTCTCGTCGTGTCTGCCGCTGCGGTTGTCCTTGGTGTGCCTACGCCCGCGCCCGTAAGGCCTCTCCTCCGCTGCCCTATGCCATGCCATACCATGCCGTCCTGTGTAACAAGAGGAAACAAGACGCTGACGCCCTTTTCAGCCGGGTATCCCAACTGCTTCGACTGCCAGGACTCTTCTTGCTGGCCTAAAGGTGGCTACGCCGTTGAGCGGTGATGGCTACTCTCGCACCCTGTTCCCTACGTGGGAGACCATCGAGGGAACTTGCAACGCCCGGTAGGCCTATTTTCTTTTCTTCTCTTCTCTGTTCAGAGACAAGGTGCTAAACATGACGTCCAGCGAGTTTGTACTCAAGCGAGATGGAACAGACGTCCGGACCGACACGGCATGTGTCGCCGAGTCAGGCAACTGGGTTTCTCCGTATGACGGCCTCTCATTCACCGCCGCCTCGGATCTTGACATTGACCACATGGTTCCACTGAAGAATGCCTGGATTGTAAGACCCAAAGACAGCATTTGATAACAAGGAGCCTCTCTTGTCTAACTCTCATCTCCCCAGTCCGGTGCCTCGCAATGGACCACGGACAAACGCCAAGGCCTCGCCAACGACATCACGCGTCCTCAGCTCTGGGCCGTCTCTGCCCACGCCAACCGTGCCAAGGGCGACAGCAGCCCCGACGAGTGGAAGCCTCCTCTGCAAACCTTCTGGTGTACCTACTCCAAGAGCTGGATACAGGTCAAGAGCTATTATGCGCTGACAATTACTGATGCCGAGAAGGGCGCGCTGTCAGGCATGCTGGATACTTGCTAAGTGCTTCTATATATCATGACGACCCGTCGGGCCTGAAAAGATGGAACCGCTTGTGGGAATGGTGTTCATGTTTCTGGGCTTGTTTTTGTTTCCCAACTCTCTCTGTTCTGGCCGTTTGTGCGGTAGGTCAGGCATCATCGTATATCATCAAATGACACGGAATGAAAGGAGAAAGGGGGGGCCACAAGTGCCACCCTCAAGTTTGCAAATGTTTGTCGTTTCAAAGAATCGTCGCGTCACACGGATCCTTGGCGAGTTGCAAGTCTTCCCACTCTAGTGATTGGACGGCTCGTCTACGCGTGGCCTGCGAAACGTCGACATCGTGAAGGACGGCAGTACAAAATGGCCACATCTCGTCACTCACCGACGAATCCCAATTTCCTTTCCCTCATGCAGGAGACATTCCACAGAGGTACAACACATCCATAGTCTTACCACGGCCACTTTCCACCCGTAACAAAAAAAAAAAAAAAAAGGCCATGTAAAGGTTCACAGCCAACGTAGTCAAGACCACCGTGGGTGAATCCTAGACTTCCTCCCTCCTCCTCCCCTTTGCCAACAAGTTAAATTCAGCAAGCACACATCTTCCTCATCCATGACTCTCCCTCAACATCCCCCATCACTCAAGGTACCAAAAATCAACGGCGGGACTACCACTCTACAGCAACAAGTCCCCCAGTGCCCAAGATGCTTCGCCCATACTGGACGGTATGCCTGGCCGCTCTGACTGCCGCCAGTCTCAAAGATCTCGCCAACTGCGACCCCCTCCGAAAAGATATGCGTAATGATCCTATAGCACAAAAGTCTTTCCCAAAAGAAAAAAAGACCCGCATCGAACCATCAAAGCTAACTGTGCCATCAGACTGCCCCCCTGACGCGGCGTTTGCCGGCAAGGCCTCGTTCGACTTCACCACGGCAAAGTGGGAAAACGTGCTCGACTTCTGGGCCGTGGACGAAGCGACGGCCAAGGACAAGAAGAGGCTCGACCTCGACACCGACGGCGACGGCGCCGCCATGGGCATGTGGAAGCCCGGCGACGCCCCAACCCTCGTCAGCAGCAAGTACCTGCTCTTTGGCAAAGTCAGCGTCACTCTGCGAGCCGCCAAGGGCAGCGGCCTCATCACCGCCGTGGTGTTGAAGTCCGACTCTGGCGACGAAATCGACTGGGTGAGCCCCCCTACCGGTGCCCTACATCTGCAAACCAAAACACCCCCCCTCTTTTGAAAAAAAAAACTAAAACGCAGAGGTAGGAACTCCTCGGGGCGTACGACAACCAGGCGCAAACAAACTACTTCTACGACGGGCAGGCGCTGTTCAACACGTACAACGACACGTACGACCTGGCCGCGTCCAGCTTCGACGCCTTCCAGAAGTACTCCCTCGAGTGGACCGACCAGTTCCTCAGCTTCTCCGTCAACGACACCATCCGCAAGGTGTGGTACGTCGGCGAGATCCCGGCCGCCAAGTGGCCCCAGACGCCCATGCAGGTGAAGCTGGGCGTGTGGTCCGTCAGCAACGACAGCGACCGCGGGGAAGTCGAATGGGCCGGCGGCGTGCCCGACTGGGCGGCGGCCCCGTACAAGGGCTTCTTCAGGAGCGTCGAGGTCGAGGACTACACGGGCTTCTGCAACCGGACCGACGGCCACGTCGAGTACCAGTACGACGAGAGGACGGTGGGCTGGCAAAAGGTCAGGATAGCCGGGTGCCGGGGCCGCCCGGGGCCGGAGCTGCCCACGCCCAGCCCCGTCCGTACCGGTGGCGCCACGGCCACCGAGACCGGCGAGGACGGCGGGCCGGAAAAGACGGGGGCGGGCGACGATAACGGCGGGGGGGGGGGGGTGGGGGGGGCGGCTTCTTCCCTCCCCGCGTCAACGACACCATCCGCAAGGTGTGGTACGTCGGCGAGATCCCGGCCGCCAAGTGGCCCCAGACGCCCATGCAGGTGAAGCTGGGCGTGTGGTCCGTCAGCAACGACAGCGACCGCGGGGAAGTCGAATGGGCCGGCGGCGTGCCCGACTGGGCGGCGGCCCCGTACAAGGGCTTCTTCAGGAGCGTCGAGGTCGAGGACTACACGGGCTTCTGCAACCGGACCGACGGCCACGTCGAGTACCAGTACGACGAGAGGACGGTGGGCTGGCAAAAGGTCAGGATAGCCGGGTGCCGGGGCCGCCCGGGGCCGGAGCTGCCCACGCCCAGCCCCGTCCGTACCGGTGGCGCCACGGCCACCGAGACCGGCGAGGACGGCGGGCCGGAAAAGACGGGGGCGGGCGACGATAACGGCGGTGCGGGCTTGTCGACGGGGCCGTCTTCGACCCTCGCTGCTGTGCTGTGCCTGGTGTGGTTTCTACTTCTCTGAGGTCCAGCTCCAAGAAAGATGATGTGACGTTGAGGTGGAGGGGGACGTAATGGGGTTTAATTTGCATGTCGGTCAAACGTGGTAGTGGATGGGCAGAAAACGAGGTTTCGAGTATTAGTTTTTAATTCCCGGGGTGTAATCTCTTTTATTTTTGCAGCTTCCGCTCGCGCTCCGTCTCTTCTCACGTCCAATATCTCCGACACCGGTGGTAAGGTTCAAATCATCCAACTGGCAATTTCGTTTTTGCATGGTGTTCGACTTTGATGCGGGTGCGGTGCTGCTGAGAAAAATTTTGAATACGCCAACGACCAAGACAACACCAATCTGCAATGGGATGGAATAGCTACGCAGCAGTCGTGATGGCCAGTGCGAATCGTCCTGCAAAGACGACATTAAATATGGCCTCGGTGACAAAGACTAGTAGTGGCTCTTCTTTCAAGGAGGCTAGCAATGTGACAGACTCCAGTTCCAACCGCCGCTGCGGCATCAACTTCACCCCAAGGCGGCCGAATATCTCTGCCGTCCTTGTCCTTGCGAGATAGGACCAGCTTACTCCTCTCATCTTTGGTCTCATACTTCAAGTCCGATAATACAATCACTGTTGGAAGCCTAGGACAAAGGCCGAGGGGGAAAGGGCTATTAGTTGCAGTAAATACAGCTATCCAAACCGGGAAATATTCTGTACAGTAAAAATATTTGATTGATTGGTTCCAATACAATCCGTAAGACATTACATTCTTTGACTCATAAAGCATTGTGAAACCGTTCGCCCGGTTCGCCATCAGCACTTTTGTCTGTCCTCCATCATGCTAGAATATGCTATAGTAAATGCCCGTGCTTCCTCCGCCTGAACAGTTCAGAGCGTACGCAGCGCGAATGATGTTGAAGAGTGTGGATATATCATCGTAATAAAACAAGCAAGAAGGGGAAAAAAAAAAAGACTCGATCCACCAGCAAATTTCACGTCCTTCATGGCCGCAAAGTCTCGTCCCCTTCTTCATCCCCGCTCAACTCCATATCGCCATCACTCAAATCGCCCTGAGAAGCCTTCTGAGCCAAGTCTCTCTCAGCGTAGATTTCTTGTTTCCTCGCCTCCGCCTGTTGTAGGCAATCCACATAGGTTCGGAATTTTACAATCTCTCGCAGCAAATAGGCGCTCTTGCGCTCCCAGTTGGCCATAGCCTTGCCCGCATTGTGAGCCCTCGGTGTGAAGGCCAATAACATTGGGCTGCGAAGCTGATTATGAGACTGTAGTTCCTGTTCGATGCTCTTGACATAAGCCGTGAGCGTTTCAAGCTGCTCCGTCTCTGCAGCATTGCTGGGACGCATACTCTGCGTTGGAGGTGCCCACTCAGCGATATGAATACGATCCCCAGGTAGTTTGCCGCGCCCACTACTGGTAAAAGAGCCAGCCGCTTGGTCAAAACTTGGTGCGCGGGTACTACCACTAGCAGCGCTTGACTTGCGCCCATGCGTAGCGCTGCTACTAGGACGGGAATTTCGTCCTCCGCTATCGCCAGCCGCTGCAGACTCGTTGATCGCGTTTACCAAAGAATTATTGACAATGGCACTGCTCCATCCGTATTCGATGTTGCTTATTCCACCAACCAGGGGATGGGAGCTGAGGCGTGCGCTCCAGTAGTTCGCGGTGTTGACAAACTCTCTGGTAATTTCTGGCGTGCCAACATGGAAAAGATGAACAGCCCCCGTTGGCAGACTCAAGGCCCAGACATGCGGCCGTGATCGGGAGTAACCAGGTGGTGGCAAAGCCGAAGCCAGCGTCAAGCGAAGATTGAATGTGCCGAGATTCACCGCATTGTCTTGCCAATTGCCACCCCCAACAGGCCCGTTTAGCTTGCCCCCCTGCCGGGATCGACTCTTTTGACGCAAGGATTTGCTCGCATTAAACGAGAACAAGCTAATCTGTCCTTTCTGGACCACAGCAAATACCTCGGTCCAGTTGCGATCCTTTGCTCGTTTCCCATAGCCATCCAAGTGGTGCTTGTGCATGACCCTCCCTTCCTTCACCCACGGCGGACCAGCAAGCTCTAGAGATTCGTCTTCTAGTAACTGTGCGGAGGTTATGTCAGCGCTCACTATGGACGGAACCGTTTCTTGGCCATTGGAATCCACATCACGGATAATGGCCTGACTGAGAGCGTTGGCGAAGCCAATTGATTTCTGAAAGTCCCCTCGTGGCATAGAGGAGGCGAAGGAGTCTTGCGACATCGACCCCTGGGTCCTTCCCAGAGAGTGCTTGCTCCATGTTGCAGAAGACATTGCCGGGCTCCATATCGAATTGCCATCGTCAAAGCTGGTGCGGCTTGAAGAAAACCCATTGCGGCCCAGGCCAGGGCGTGATCGGCTCTTTGATGTCCAGCGGGATGTGTTGTTGCGGCTGCCATCGGCCACCCGTCCACGAGTGGACAAAGTTTCTGAAGGCGCCTTGCTCAGAACGCTTGGGCTTCTCTTCAACATCCCAATAACTGACAAGTTGCTCTGGGATGGGGCAACGGTGAGATTTTTTTCCTGTTCTGCCCCGAATAAAGGTAGTCGTTGGTCACGAATGGAAGCATATATCGATTTCAGAACAGTCTCGACTTGCTCCTCCCAGCCTCTCCTTGGTCCGTTGTAAGGGGACTTGACCAACGGGCCACAATCATCAACATCACTGTAGTTGGTCTCAGTGCGAGGGGATGGGCGAAATGAATGCCTATTCGTACGAGGCGCGTCCATTGTTTGCCGTGTCGGTTCTGGTGACAGTATTGAGTTCTTCTCGGGGAGAATGCTCGGCCGGACAAAAGCTCCAGGAGCCGACTCAGCAATGGCTTGTGTAATTGTAGTCATGGTGTTCTTGACGAACTGGCTTCGAGTCATTTTTGATTCAATATCTGCCAGATGGAGATCAGTGTTCAATAGCATGATTGAGTAGCAAATCGTGTGAATAACATCTAGGGAGCTAGTTAGCAATCATGTGCGAAAAATTGTCAGCTTTTCTTCCGAGGCTGACCCATACCTGTCGCTTTGAAGCCATGCATGGGGTTGCAATTACACCAGCGTTTCGAGAATGCAACCAAGATGCGATCTACCTGTTGAGTCTCGGCGCGAAGGACCAATCGTCCACAGATTTGGCGCAAGGAGACAAGAACATTCAGACCAGCAAAGTCGTACAACTCCATATATGCTTGGAGCGTGCGCTGCCGAACTGGCCCTTGTTCTCCAATCCACGCAGCAGCCCCATCCTTTGGAATGAAATCCTCGCATCCGTCAAATATTCTCCGCGCCTTTTGGCGGTCATCTTCTGTCGGCTCACCAATCACGAACTCGGGTTCATCCAAAGGCATACGCGATTTCATGGATTCCAATGTCGCCAATACTGTGGGACCAGATTCGTCAGTCTCCTCGACAAGTACACTCGGTGGCGCACTGGGAGCAGTTCTGTAGCCAGTTTCAGTCGACCCCGACGCAAGACTGACAGATCTAACACCATCCGCCGGCAAGTTGAGGCTAGTCTGTGTTGGAAGCTTGCCTCCATCGTCAAAATCCAGCACAGGCTTCTTCTTCCTGGCGCGAATCGTAGCATCTCCATCTTCAGTGTCTTTCCGTCTTGTTGCTGTTGAAGACGGCTTCTCGCTCTTTTTCTGATGCTGATGATGATCATCTTCATCGTCGCTGCCCGCCTCAAGATCCAGGAAAGAATTATTTGCATGAAGAGTCTTGTAAGGTTGTTTTGATTTGGCGCGACATGGTGTGCTGTCAACTCGTTCGCCGTCGGATTCGGGGTTGACCTTTCGTATACGGGCATTCGGACTTGGTTCATAGTCCGGAGAGAAATCTCTCTTGTATTCTTCGTTTCTTGTCTCTGCGGTGGTGTCAGACTTGGAACTGGATGTATTGGTAATGTCTGACAACGGAGATGAAACCGCCACTCCCGTCAGACCAAGTCCAGTAACACCGTCCCGCAGATATGGATTCATGACTTGGCGTAAGCTACTTGCTGGGCTGCCCATATTTTGTCCAGATGGCTCATATTTGGCTGTTTGAAAGTTCGATGAATCCAAAAGAGGTACTGGCGGCAAAAGCTCCGTGCTTGGTAGAGGTGGAGGCTCGTCGGCAACCGACTTTTTACGGCGGCGAAAGAAGGAAGATTTCTTTTGCAGCGTGGGATGGTGATGTGAATGTGACGATGCCGCATCTTTTGCAGGGGGAACGGAGGTTGAGGTGGTAGGGGTTGTGGGTTGTTGTTGGTGCAGCAGCGTGCGGTCAGGGGAAGCCGGTAAGCGAGAGGAGCTTGTTGGAGGTGCAGAAATACTGCTGTTTGAAGGGGCAGTTGACTTTGATGAGCCGAATACACGTCTGAAAAATCCAGGTCGCTCTTTCGGTTGAGAGTTCGCATTGGTCGTCGTAACAGATTCCTTGGATTTGCCATACCCCACGCTCGGAGCAGGAGCAGAGTCCAAGTCTTCAGTACGCATTGACGGCTGTGCCTGTGCAGAAGCTTGGTGCCCAGTCCCTCCTCGCCTACTTCTACCAGAGGAGCTTCTCAGAGATCGGCTCGTGCTACGCTTGCGTTCCAGTGTGCGAGGCTCGACTGGCTCCGGAGGTGGCGGTGGAATATGACGGCCAGAGGCCTCGCGGCGAGGTCCGCTCGGTACCGTTGGTGTTGGGGCAGCACGGTATCCGTCGCGGGCCATGCCGTCGGCAAAGTCGACGAGGAAAGGAGCAGACAACGATGGCTGTTGGATCTGGGATTGCGACTGAGGTCCGTAGTCGAAACTAGCAGATCGTCCGGTTCTCGGTGCTAATCGCTGGTTTACCATGCCGTGGGGATATCCCATATCAAGACTTGCACTGCTGCTGCTCTTGTTGCTTTGTCTACGGCCACGGGTATGACTGCTCCGAGGTGGCGTGCCGGGCTGTGATTTGTAGGCCGTCTCTCTCATGCTGTTCAGGCGAGGGAATTGGCCCAGGAAATTGTTGGAGCTGCTATTGCTGCGTCGTCCTCTTGAAGCAGGAGGGTTATCGGGGTGCTTTGCAGAGTCATCAACGACAATGCTGTCCGTATCAGAGCTGCAAGGTGATTGGCGCCGATGGCGGTTATTATCAACGGTACCGTGTCGTCCCCGTGAACTGGTATTCGCATCGTCGGACCACGGCCTCGGAGAATATTCTTCGTCATAGACGGCGGTAGTAGTGTTGGCTCCTCTGCTGCCCCCAAAGGGCCCGTCTGCGGAGGACTGGCCAAAGGACATCTGGTCCAGTGACAGGAGCATGTTCACGACGAGAGAATCACGAGTGATGTCTCGCGGCGACAGGGAGAGATCGTGGGAGTCCCGTGGGCGTGGGGGAGTGCGAGCCATGGCATTATCAGCCATATTGGCATCCTCGGTAGCTGTGGGTTTGTCTAGAGAGGAATCATTGGAAGCGAGACAGCAGCTACGGGACGATGCAGACGCCAATGCCGGTCGCAATGTAGACGCAGGCGCAGGCGCAGACACAAGCCGACGGGCAGAGGCGGCAGCAAATGCAGCCACGGTAGTCTCGCTGGAGACAATGCCAGTGCTGGGTATCGATGGAGTCGACAACGAGGAAGCGAGGGTTCCTTTTGGGCCTGAATGCTGGCGCGCCTTGCGGCCGTGACGGTGATTGCGGTGGTCCTTGTCGGCCGTGGTGGTGGGCGTCGTGGTGGTCCCTGGGTTGGTGGGTGCAGCAGTTTGCCGCTCCAGCTCAGGAGTAGCAGCACCGAGGCTGGACACACGGCGTGGCACCGTCACCGGCACGGGCCCAGGCACAGAAGCAGGCACGGGCACAGGCACAAGCGCTGGAGCAGGCACTGGAGCAGGAGGAACAGAGGCACCGCCGCGTGATGGCGGATGGCCAGGCTCGGGCGAGTTGGTCACGGGCGTAGGCGCTTCCAGCACGGTCGACAGGGCCCTTGGCTTGCCAGTCGGCGGCGGCGTGTGCAAAGAAACGGCGGGCGGCTCGACTGCGGCTGACGATGATGCGGCAGCAAGGGACGGGTCGCGGGCGAGATATGTTGTCTTGGAACGATGTGCGGGCACCGTCGAAAGCAGCATTGTGGGGAACCGGCTCGAGTGAGCACCTGCAGCCAAGAGACATGGAGGGTCAAGGACCCGCGCAGTAAGGGTCAGCGGGCCCGGACTGGCCACTGGGTAAAGCTGCCCTCCTGCCTGGCGCCAGCCAAGTCCAGTAAGTACCTACCTAGAGGTGATTTGGCCTGCGAGGTTCCGGCTCAATGTGGCGAAGCCCGCTCAGGTTCGTGCCAGGGGTTCACATGTCCAGGCGCTGCGAGATCAAGAATCTGGCCTAATGGGGCAAAGCCTGCTGACCCCAGCTTTCCAATTGATTCGAACGCCAAAAGAATTCACCAGTATACATAGGTGGGAGAGGGAAAGTGAAAGGGAGCAAAAGGGGGGAGAAGGGGAAGGAGAAGGAAAAGTCACGAATATGCAAATAATGCTGGCTGATGGCTTCCATATGGACCACTAGTCAAGTCGCGTTTCCCTTGTTTGTTTCTTGTCGTGGTCAATTTTTCATGCACTGGATATACATATTCAAGCGGTCCAAGAGCCCTTGCTGTCACTTTTTTCAACCGGGCCATGCAACCACGCTCCATTTTGATTTTGACCATCTCGACAGGGGCCCCGCCAGCATGTTACATGTCTGAACGAAAAGAGATGGGAAGCGGCCAGCCACAGGCGGTCCTACTGTTTTCCATCCGAAAGCTCAAGTCCTTGCTTGACGATTGTGTTGACTCCATCTGATGCAGCTGAGCAGCGCGGAATCGGCCCAACACAAACGTGAAACAGACGATACGAGGACGCGCAGAGTGCAGGCCCTCGCATCGCCGCTTTAGCTGTCCATGGGCCCAAATGTGTATTCTGGTCCGTTAATCCGTATATACGATATTGTCCTTGAAGCATCGTGGTCAGGCAGTAATGTTGTAATCTCGAGACTGTCCAGGCTTTTTCAGGCCCCCCGGACCGGAGTACGCAGGAGACACGTTGAACGAGTCAAATACCCAAGCAAGTCATCTCCTACACCACCACGACATCCCAGCATCGCAGGCCCTACCTAGAGAGATGAACACGGTGATTCACCAGTGACCAGTAGTACAAGACACCCAGAATTGAGGATTGAGACAGACGTTGTGGGTCGCCCGCTTAAAGTGGAGATCCACCATTCGCGGGTGTGATCTAATATCCTAACAGTTGCATTCCTGTGTCCTTCGGCAACCCTTCTTTTGTGCTCCGTAGTCGGCTGCCAATCGTCCCTCGAGCTACATCTTCCATCACACCAGACACCGCCAGGCGAATTTCTAGTCGATATACATGAATGCTAACATGACTTTTATCGTCTACAAGAACGGATTAGCTCGAGTGGATCTCGCCCGCCTGCCATTTCCACCTTGGGGTAATACAAAGACACCCGACTAGCATCTGATAAGGAACAATACCTGTCGGGCAACACCACCAACAAGTGTGAAACGCACATCCAGTCCAAGCATTACGCTTTCCAAACAGTTGCAGCAAGCTGTACAACCGAGTTCCACCAAATAAGGCATCCGTACGACCTCCTCCCCCAACAGAGCATCAAATAGCGCTGATTTGGGCGTTTCGGGAGCGGGAGCGGGAACGATGGCATGAATCGTCACGATGCCCCTTTGCCAACTTCTTCACCCGCCATAATGCAACAGCTCGTCCATTTATAACTCACTGCACACGAAATGGAGCCTAGACCGAAATCACAAAAGTCGATTGTGCATCACATGCTAAACACGCGGTGCGCCTATACACGCTCGCAGCAAAAAAAAGAATGGTCGTTCTAAACTTCTAATACTCCGTACTGCTACAACGGATATTGTTGTCAAACAAACCACTGGACGCAATGCGTTACAGATTCCGACAATGATCCAATCGCATCCAGTGCCACCAACACGAAATCCGGTCCCAAACCACCAGATATTCCCACACGTCAGCTCAACGTACAAGATTGCCCTGCTCGTCACAAGTCCCCTCCACGTATTCAATCTCGGCCGAAGAGAAAATCGGGGGCATCCCAGTCCAAAGAACTTGTCGCTGTCCACATGGAATCAACCACATGGCCTAAACACTCAGAGGCTGAGGCATGTCTGGCGTGGCATTATACGCAATCCTGCCGGCAGGCAAGAAAAACAATGCCACCAGCGCGCCGCCTCTAACCTGCGGATAATGATGCGTCCCGGGCCCAGGCGAAGTCCAGCCAGCGCCCTGCCAGCCCTGCATCCCCATCAGTTCTGCCGTGTCATCAATCTGCACGACGCAGTTGATCTCCCCGTATGGGTGTCTGTGGTACTGGCCCTTGAATTCTTCCTGGCTGTTCATGTACACTGTTGTGATGCTGAAATAGCGAGTCTCGGCGGAGGGAAGCGCAATCTTGCCTCGTTTGTAGTTGGGGCCCGAGATTTCCGTCTCAGCGACCCAGCCTTCCGTGAGGCCTTGCCTAATGTACGTGCAGAAGTCTTCGTAGAAGGGGTTCCCGGGGCCAAATTCCTTGTTCAGCCTTTCCTCGAGGTCCTTTCCGGGTGTTCTGTAAATGGGGCATGTCGGTGATGAGCGAGTGTTGTCATATTGGGCAGCGGGCATAGTGACGACTGGACTCACAAATCTTGCACCGTAGCAAAAAAATCGCAGCAGCGTTTAACAAATTTCTGAGCTGTCGGGTACTTTGTCACGTCCAGTACCGCCGCCGCGTCACTTGATCGATCCATTTTGCCGAGCTGCCACGGGAAGCTAAATAGTCTACCCGGCTTGGTTCCTACACAGATACACACTTGACGTGGTATGATAGCGGGCGAATCTGCCTAATAAGTAATCGACAATTGGTTGCAACAACGTCGAGTTAGGAGGCGTGCGGGGAACCGATTTCACTGCCGAGAACCGGGACTTCACATCGGCTCCCCATCACCGGGAATGACAGCCGGCAAGGGTCAAGCTCTTGGTATCTAGTACGTACCATGGCAAAAGTTTGCACCAGAAGGACGACCTCATTACTCTACGCCGAATTTTCGGGCCCCCGCTTCTATTGTAGATCAAAGACTTACTCCCGTTGCCTGCACAGTCGTCCCGTCTCTCGGCGCCGATTCATCCGATATACCATGTTGCTTCCCATCCGAACGCTGGGCAAAACGCTTTCCAGGTTCCATATATACAAAGGCTATGTGAGTCCCAGGTGACATACTCGCATCTTCTAAACCTACATGGTCGCATTACGACAGAACCCGGCTTCAGTAACGAGACCTGGTGGCTCGCCTCCGGGAGATCGTCCGTTTCTATAGCTCCAAAGTCTGCTTAGCTCCTTGACCTTGACGTCCGTCTTCGTCCGCTTCCTGCCCTTGACTCCGTGGACTTCGACAGGTGTTGATATGTGCCCGGTTCCAAATCCCTCCGTTCCCAAATAAGAAATATCGAATGCTTCTCTTGCATTCTCCATGGCATCACCCTCTTTGCCGAACTTGATAACTTCTTCCATAAACGCGTTCTCTTCGTCGGCGCCTATGAATTCACCTGTTTTCTTGTCACTCTCCAATGGAAACATGCCGTTTAGGTAGTGTTGGTTTAACTGGTGTCCACCACTGCCAGTCGCGCGGTTGAATAGGCGTCCAAGAAACCGAGGAAGCTGATGGGAACCCATCCTGTTTGTAGCAAAATGCAAGACTCCCCACATGGCAACGAAATCAGTGGAGTGTGCATAATGTTCTACATGACCGATGGCCCTGTCTTTGGCTGCGGACGACACACGTGAAGGGGAGAAAGACTCAGACGTCGCGGAGGTCGTCAAGGCAAATGGATTTCCTCCCTTGGCATGCCCATTTGTTGCACCGACAGGGCTAGTGACCGGTGTTGAAAAGCTCGACTCCGAGAGGAATGTTCTGATGGCAATCAGAGGGTTGGCTGCTGATAGATTTTGGGAGGCAACGTGGCGATGAGGGTTGTTGAAGTGATTTGCCGCGTTTCCAAATGTGTATACTTCGAGTTTAGACAAAAGGTCTTGTGGCATCTCTTGCAGCAACCAATCCAGAACTAACCCACCTTCTATGCCGCCCTGGGAATGTAATATGAAAACAACCTTGGATTTGCTAGGGTCGTATAGCACATCCCGAAGGATTTTGTAGCAAATACGCACGTCAGACGTGGCATAGGTGAAGTTGCGCTGAAACAAGCACTCAACAACATCGAAGAGTATTCCCGACGTTTGGTTGTGAATGCCTAGGACTGGACGCCCAAAGGTGATGGCCAATCGATTCAGGTTGGCCATCATCCAGTGTTCTCTGTGGGAAACAGGTCAGTCGTTTTCGCCTACGCGGTTACTTCGGCTCAAAGTACGAGATGGGGCCTACCCAACTGCGACGCCATTAAGAAAGACCCATTGTTCATGTGCATGCTCCGGACGTGCTTTTGCATACTTTTCGTCCGAGTGAAAGGTGATATCCTTTCCATTGAGTAATTTGCACAGCGCCCAATTCAAAGTCATAAAAACCCCCACACCGAGCGCGGTAATCCAAACGGGAAAAATAATACCCAGGGGCAGAACCAAGATGAATGCGAGCTGTAGAAGCACAAGTACGAAATGGACCAGAATGCAAAAAATATTCTTCCTGCTGGGATGTAGTTCGTCGAGTCCACCAGAACCGCAGGGCCTGATAGGCAACAGAATCCACGGCAACGCCCAGCAGTACACGAAAAAGTAGTACACATCCTTGAGAAGAAGCTTGAATGGGAAATCAGTGTAGGAGTAATTGATGACTGACGTGCCACCGATCTGGGATCGATAGAATTCCGTTGCAGTCCCCATGGCGGTACACGGCACAAGCCAGAAGTATTGGCACCAAAACAGTCAACAGGCTTTGAAACGGTCGTGTCCTTGTTGCCGCCGTCTGGTGTGCTTGGGAAATATCGTCAAGAGACTTGAGCGAGACTTGACATGAGGCGAGAATTTGAAGAACAAAGAGCCGGCTTGACAAGGACATTGTCACATGCCTAGGACGACGATGCGCTGGTCAGCTGGACGTCTGGCCGGATGGTCGATCGTGATGGGCAACAGCTACGCGAGCCAAGGCTGCTAGCGCTTGGCGGCGTTGGAAGAGAGGCGATGCACCAAAGCTTGCTAGAGAGACAAGTAAATTTATACCAAAAACATACACATAAGGGGTTGGTGAGAGGCGAGAAGTGGACTGAAGACATTGACTGGCTGGGCATTCGGCAGCGAATTGGCACGAGCCCAACACAAAGCCCGAAACCGAAGGCAGCAAGCAACGGAATCAAGCGGGAAGGAGCAACGGACCATCTTGAAACCAGTTGACACTAGACGACATGGACACCAGTTGACCGTGGCTGATAGAGAGAGCAAGGCTCTTACAGGACTGTTGAAAACTACCATCTGCTGGCAAGATATTAAACGTTCTTCTAGGCTGTCTTGTAGACGCTAAGAGACGTCTGTCTGGTGGTGACTCTCACGATAAAGCGTCAATGGATGGCATCTCATTCAACGTCGAGAGCTTGAGCCGTGTCTCCCCACGCATCCTTCCCGTCAGCCACATTGGACGCCGTCTGGGGAACCAAGTGTCGTGCGTGGAGAAGCGACCAGCAATTGACGGCCACGCAGATTATATGCTTGCCCGTGCCAGCTCCCGTCCGTCACGCATCCCTAGTTTGGAGGCCGCTGTTTCTTTCTGGAAGACACAAAGCCGGGGTGCTGCTCGACTCAGACGGCGACGGCCTCAACAGCCTGTTGTCTGCCAACGTTCTTTTTCTTTGGATGGGAATTGTGGGTCCTTGATGAGGATACCAGAGCTTTTCTCACTGAAATCCAACTTGTTCTAGAACAAGATTGAAATCATTGAAGTCTTGCCGCAGACCTTTAACCCACCATCTACCCTACCCTATAACGATCTCCGTCATCTTGGTAAGGAACACCGTCTGACATAATAGCTAGACACCGTCTCATTCCGTTATCCCCAGATCTACTGATGCCGTCTGCCTGTCACTGGCCTTGCAAATTATGGCCGAACCTAGTGGCGTGCAGAATTCAATCAGCCAAACACTCTCTGCACGTCACCTCTGTCTGCACCGGGCAGGAGATGAAATCAGGCGCTGCGACAGGTTATTGATGCCCAACACGATATGCAACCTCACCGTATCTTTAGTCGCGTGAAGAGACCACAAAGGTAGAGGCTTGCCCTGCTCTCTGCACAGCCCTGAGTATCAACTGACCTGGCTGCAATGCGGCCTGACTTCGACAGTCCAGCCACAATGAATAAAAAAAACCCGAGTCACACCGCCGGCGATCCCACGAATCCTTGGTCATGGCTTCACCCTTGGTTCCCTTGGCCACGTATTTCAGAACACGTTGGGAATAATTCAGTGAAGTTGTTCACGCCTACAATGTGATGTGTTGAAGCACCCCCATGCCGTGTGGGTTTCCAAAAAGCCCACGATGCTAGCGTCCTGCGCGGGTCTACGTCACAACAAAACCCCACGATCCCACGATCTTTCTTTCTTTCTTTTTTTTACCCTCCTTTTGAGAGGACCACAATGTTGGGCACTTGCAGCCCCGCAGGTTCTAGATCAATCTACCTGTAAATCCGGGGGGCCGTTGCGTCTATGAAAATGACAACGCTGCCAGGGTCGCATGGTGATCGATTCAACAATGTGAGTGCTCGGCAGCTCCCATTCGTACAACGAGGATAATTCCACTACAAGTCGGGCGACAAAGTCGGCGCCTGCCGCATGCATCATGCTTTTAATGAACAAGAACCCTGAAAAGTCATGCAGTTCGCGCTGCTGGAACAAAAAAGACGGCAGATAAAAAAACAAGACAATGAGCCAAGTAAAATACTGCTCTCCTTGCATCACCGGTTTCATCGTTTTGCATGACTTATTTCCCTTTCCCATTTCGGGCTGCAGCTCAAGCGACTCAATTTTTCCTGGAAAAGTGGCGTTGGATGCGGTCGCTGCATGGCGTCGGGAAAATCCCTGAGCGGCGTATTTGCGACGGTTGAGGCTCTGCCAGAGGTGCCCAAATACCCGGGTTGCTGCGCCCAAAATGGGGGGACACGTCAACGGGCTGGGAATAATACTCCGTTTGTAGTCCCTCCGAAAGATAATGAATAGATGGTGGTGGCTGCAGATGACAGCAAATCGCATCGCCTCTGCTCGACTCAATTCCGAGGAATACACCATTTCGTGGCTGACCCCTGGCAACCTGGACACCCTTCACATGCAAAAACTTTCTTTCCCATCTTTTTGTTCACCGCGTTTCTGGTACTCTGGCAGCTTTGTCGGCAATGATCAGCGACGGCCGTCACTGTGATTCGATACCGGTCCTTCGCACGTCGACTAGCCAAGGTACCTTGCGTCATTTCCAGCATGGCGCAACGACAGGACAAGATATGAAAGAGGCGCCTTGACTCAAACAGGTGGGGTCAGAACTTTCAGAAAGTGTGGGACAGGACCAACTCGGTCCGCCTCCGAATAGTTTATACCTGCGACGATGCGGTGTAACCGTTGGCTAAACTGACGCCCTGTCAGACCACGTCGCCGGCTGTTTCAGTGTAATTGAGCAGAATGGACAACTTTGCTTGGGT